GCGTGGCCTCGGGAGGGTGGAGCGCGGCCCTGTAATCGGGCGCTTGACGGTACCGCAGCCCTCGGTTACGTGGGGCGGTGGCTGTTGTTCACATGCGTACGCTTCGGTCAGTGCTTGCCCCGCGGTTTAATGTAACGCCTCAAGTGCTCTCGTCCCTTCCCTCGTGTTTGCGTGGTGCCGCTCGCCGGTACCACCCCGTGTAATAACCCTCTGCCTGCCCCGGCGAGCGAAGCGGCGGCAGCCGGACCGCGGCCTCCGCGGACCGCTCTGCGGTAGCACCAACTTTTTACACGGCGTTCTTCCTCCCTACATCCCAACGCGGCAGAAGAGAGCATTGTTATTTCAGTTTGCAAATGGAGAAAACGAACTGTGTAATTACATCAGTCCCTCCAAGAGGCTACTGTCAGAACCGGGGATTGAGTTCTGAAATGATAGGACGAAATTCCCTGGACAACTCTTCCTTGTTTATTAAACTATCCAGTAATGTAAAGATACATTAGTAACAGATGTGAACCAGAGCTGGAAAGCACTTAAGAGTTCGGTGGATGTTCCTCCTCTATTTCTGTTCCAACCCAGATCTGAATGAGATACAAGATGAGGAAAAAAAAGCTTTCCCCTCGCTGTCTTTCTTCATGCAAAATTAAATAGAAGTTGGATTGGAAAAGATTTTCCATGATCCAGGTCTCCCCACAAGAGCACGATAAATGTTTAGGGGGCAGGCTGACAGTCCTGAGGAGAAATGAGCACCTACAATTCCCTCCAAGATGTGCCTGCCAGCTGCAGGCACTCTGGAGCAGATCTTAAAATAGTACTGCATATCACTCAAAGGCAAAAAAAAAATTAGAAGGCAGATGTGAAAGCAGTAGTGTGGTTTATGCTTTACTTGTTAAAAGTAAATGCTGAGGCTTTAAGCCTTCACTCTCTGTTTGGTTTACATAATGTAGAGGGATTAGCTTTTTCCATCCTCCTAAGAGAGCAACTGGTGAATGTCTATTTTGCATCTGGAGAAATGTGTGTTAGTCTCGAGGCCTGACATTTGTTTTGTGTCTATGGAATTCACCCTGCATGGGGCTGTCAAATTAAATACGATAACTGGCTTTTCCAAAGCAGCAGATAATTTATTGGTCATTAAAAGTCCTAGTGGCTGTGCAGTCTGCTTGCGTTGAAGTCTCTTATTGGTGCCAGGGCATATAGTAAACACTCATCACAGACACAGGCAAACCTTTCAGACTGTTGAGACCCACAGGGCTGGTCCAGGACCACTTCAGTTGCTGTTTGTTTTCTCTGTACTCACTGTGCTTCTCATACATAATGTTGATGGGTTTGTTTTTTCTTTTTCTACCCCAAATAGGTTTTGAAAGCCTTAGGCTTTAGTCCTATAAACAAAAGACCACCTTGCTTTGTCCAAAGCAATGGTTTGCTGGCAGTTGTGGCTGACATGGAATGTTTTCTCACTGGCTTTGTCACTTGTGCTTATCCTGAAAGATGCTCATAGGTGTTATCCTGGTATGGGTGATGAGATCAAGGTTTTCCCCTGTGAAGACCATCATGTGACTGACTGCCTGAATGATGGGACAGGTTCCTTTTCTGCCCTTGTCTTACAAAAATTTGTGAGAAGGGAAAGCTGAAGGTACTGGGTCTGATCCCAGATGGTCTGTGTGCTCAGTCCAAATTCAGCCTGATCCAGCAGAAGTCAGGAGCACCCCCTTCCCCACCCTGCCAGAGCCATGTGTCTTAAATTTCTCCCCCTTGTCCCTTGCATCTTTGGTGAGTCACAGTGTTTCACAGTCTTAATTCTTTTTTGAAAATAGTACTTTTGTATATTTAAAGATATTGTTCTTGTTTTACCAGGAAAGGGAGCAGTCCCAGCACAAAAGAATATCTGATTTATTAGCTGAAGTGGAGCTGAGGGAAACTCACTCCTTTTTGTAGGCTCATTTTCAGCAGTGTTAAAGTAGTGAAGTGCGTCTACCCACAGTGATCAGTGAGTTTATGTGTGTCTTTGTGTCTCCTAGGGGCAACACTGAGTCTTGTAGTAGGCAGAGCAGGTGACCTCCTCTCCCCTTGTGAGCCCCAGGCACTGCAGACATGTTGCTGCAGAAGGGCTGGACCCGGCCACGCTGTGAACAAGGAAACTGCAGCTGCAGGTCCATGGCTGTATAGTTACCCAGGATCTGTAACGTGCACCTGCACCTCACGATGCAAGGGATATAGCTGGCTTAGCTCCCCTGTTATCCACACCTGGTTACATCCCTTTTTGCTTAAGAAGATGCCCATCAATGGTCCAGAGCAAGAATTTTGGTTCATTTATGGTCTGGTAAATGCCTGCAGCCAGCCAGTGTCTGCAGTCAGAGCTTCAGACTGTGCCTGTTCACCAGAAACCCTAATGGCTGAGGAGCAGATAATGAAATAGGAATGCGAACAACTTGACATGCAGATGAAGCCACAAGCATTATGTCAAAGCAAAAATGCTGTTTCAGGTTTGATTAACAGAGGTGCATCCAAGCAGTTACAGTTGACAGAAGTATTTTAGAAAGGCTCACAGTTTTATGGACAGCTAAATAATACTTTACTGGCTCAATAAGATATCTTAGTTTTAAGATATCTTTAATAAGATATCTTTAGTCTAGAGTGATCTTTCTGTCTGGTCTGGAGGTGCTACCTGTTGTCAAACACTTCTACTGGCTTACCGTTTTCATTGTGAATGCTTATGGTGTGTTTTCTGAAGGTATTTCTGTTGTGAAAGACACTGGTATTTGCTTCCTGAAAGGTGGAAGAGAGGACTGGTGTGACACTGCAGGC